CCCTAGTGACTCTCGAGGAACCTTAGTGAACCTCTCGAGGAACCCTTAGTGACCTCTCGAGGAACCCTTAGTGACTCTCGAGGAACCCTTAGTGACCTCTCGAGGAACCCTTAGTGACCTCTCGAGGAACCCTTAGTGACCTCTCGAGGAACGCTTAGTGACCTCTCGAGGAACTCTTAGTGACCTCTCGAGGAACCCTTAGTGATCTCTCGAGGAACTCTCAGTGACCTCTCGAGGAACCTTTAGTGACCTCTCGAGGAACCCTTAGTGACCTCTCGAGGAACTCTTAGTGACCTCTCGAGGAACCCTTAGTGACCTCTGGAGGAACCCTTAGTGACCTCTCAAGGAACCCTTAGTGACCTGTCGAGGAACTCTTAGTGACCTCTCGAGGAACCCTTAGTGACCTCTCGAGGAACCCTTAGTGACCTCTCGAGGAACTCTTAGTGACCTCTCGAGGAACCCTTAGTGACCTCTCGAGGAACCCTTAGTGACCTCTCGAGGAACCCTTAGTGACCTCTCGAGGAACCCTTAGTGACCTCTCGAGGAACTCTTAGTGACCTCTCGAGGAACCCTTAGTGACCTCTCGAGGAACTCTTAGTGACCTCTCGAGGAACTCTTAGTGACCTCTCGAGGAACCCTTAGTGACCTCTCGAGGAACCCTTAGTGACCTCTCGAGGAACCCTTAGTGACCTCTCGAGGAACTCTTAGTGACCTCTCGAGGAACCCTTAGTGACCTCTCGAGGAACCCTTAGTGACCTCTCGAGGAACCCTTAGTGACCTCTCGAGGAACCCTTAGTGACCTCTCGAGGAACTCTTAGTGACCTTTCGAGGAACCCTTAGTGACCTCTCGAGGAACCCTTAGTGACCTCTCGAGGAACGCTTAGTGACCTCTCGAGGAACCTTAGTGACCTCTCGAGGAAGCCCTTAGTGACCTCTCGAGGAACCCTTAGTGACCTCTCGAGGAACTCTTAGTGACCTCTCGAGGAACCCTTAGTGACCTCTCGAGGAACCCTTAGTGACCTCTCGAGGAACCCTTAGTGACCTCCCGAGGAACCCTTAGTGACCTCTCGAGGAACCCTTAGTGACCTCTAGATGAAGTCTTAGTGACCTTTCGAGGAACCCTTAATGACCTCTCGAGGAACCCTTAGCGACCTCTCGAGGAACTCTTAGTGACCTCTCGAGGAACCCTTAGTGACCTCTCGAGGAACCCTTAGTGACCTCTCGAGGAACCCTTAGTGACCTCTCGAGGAACCCTTAGTGACCTCTCGAGGAACCCTTAGTGACCTCTCGAGGAACCCTTAGTGACCTCTCGAGGAACCCTTAGTGACCTCTCGAGGAACCCTTAGTGACCTCTCGAGGAACCCTTAGTGACCTCTCGAGGAACCCTTAGGACTCGGTCTTAGGCTCTCGAGGAACCCTTATGACCTCTCGAGGAACCCTTAGTGACCTCTCGAGGAACCCTTAGTGACCTCTCGAGGAACCCTTAGTGACCTCTCGAGGAACCCTTAGTGACCTCTCGAGGAACCTTAGTGACCTCTCGAGGAACCCTTAGTGACCTCTCGAGGAACCTTAGTGACCTCTCGAGGAACCCTTAGTGACCTCTCGAGGAACCCTTAGTGACCTCTCGAGGAACCCTTAGTTGACCTCTCGAGGAACCCTTAGTGACCTCTCGAGGAACCCTTAGTGACCTCTCGAGGAAACCCTTAGTGACCTCTCGAGGAACCTTAGTGACCTCTCGAGGAACCCTTAGTGACCTCTCGAGGAACCCTTAGTGACCTCTCGAGGAACCCTTAGACTCTCGAGGAACCTTAGTGACCTCTCGAGGAACCTTAGTGACCTCTCGAGGACCCTTAGTGACCTCTCGAGGAACCTTAGTGACCTCTCGAGGAACCCTTAGTGACCCTCCGAGGACCCTTAGTGACCTCTCGAGGAACCCTTAGTGACCTCTCGAGGAACCCTTAGTGACCTCTCGAGGAACCTTAGTGACCTCTCGGGAACCCTTAGAGACCTCTCGAGGAACCTTAGTGAGCCTCTCGAAGGAACCCTTAGTTGACCTCGTCCAGGAACCCTTAAGTGACCTCTCGAGGAACCCTTAGTGACCTCTCGAGGAACCCTTAGTGACCTCTCGAGGAACCCTTAGTGACCTCTCGAGGAACCCTTAGTGACCTCTCGAGGAACCCTTAGTGACCTTTCGAGGAACCCTTAGTGACCTCTCGAGGAACTCTTAGTGACCTCTCGAGGAACCCTTAGTGACCTCTCGAGGAACCCTAGGGTTCGAGGGAACTTCGGTTGAGAAATGTTGCTTGGTATGGCAAAACAACGAGCAACTCGCCAGCAGCGCTGTAGAGATTATCTGGATAAGATTTGCAGGATATATTCAGTCAGCAGTCACGTAACATGTGTCTGTGGCGTAATCCACTCTAACAACACGCTGATTGTAATATACTTAGTGCAACATGAAGCAATAGCACACAAAAATTTGGCACAAGACAAGGTGAGATCCGTGGCAACCATATGGGAAGGTAAGTCTACCAGAGCTGCTTCACGAGCGTCCCACATCACTTCATAGCTTTGGTGGGCTTCCTTGTGATTGGCTGGTTGATGGGGGCCCTTTTCATTAATCCATTAGCACCTGGTTCGCTGGTAGGGAAGCAACCTATGTTGGTGTGTGACATATGCTCAATAAAATGTAACATACTCTTAGCATGCCATATGCCTCATGAAGCCCGTGAATAATAAGCAACTTCTGCTCTCCTCTTCCCACTTCCTTTCCCTCTATATCTCTGGATCCGATTTAAGCATTTTAGTTGTTTCAGTTATCATACAGGCATTGCAGTTGCCTGATACCACTTGTACAAGGGACTTCTTAGCTCCTTCCCCTCCTTTAGTCCCCTCACTGTCTGCTTATGTTTCTGTTCCAGCACCATGCTCCTATCAATCCTCATCTCTGTATCCCACCTCAGCTCTTCCAGTTCCTTCATTAGGCTCTACATCTTTGCCTCAGCAGCTACAGCTCATAACTCCCTCTTCTGTTTGTTTTCTGTTGACATCTTCTCCACCCCCTCTGTTGCAAAACTAATTTAGCCTTTTTTCCCACTATAGTTCTATTGTGTTCTTGAGCCTTTTTTCTCATGCTTCTTTCTCAGATCATCCATCCCCAGTTCCCTTGCATCTACTTTCTGCCTTTGTGCGTTGTCACCTATATGTCTTAGCTCCTGACCCTGCCTTTCAACCTGCCACTTTCCAGATTTGCTCTACCTAGCCCCAGGAGCCCCATTATACCTATTCAAAAAATACTACAGGATAGAAAGGTTGATTGACAATAGTTTTGTGCGCAGCAAGGGATAAAATGTCACTGGCCACAACTAATATATGAATGAAAACAAAGGAAGCCAACACAGAAAGTATAAGAGCAAGACAGACCCAGCTGGGTGACTGAAAGCTGGGTGTACTCACCTATTTGTAGTTGCAGGGATCGAGACATAGCTCCTAGCCATGCCTATTCACAGAACGCTATTAGGTCCTCTCTCTCCCAGCTCCATGAGCTTTATCATACCTCGTCTTAAAACTATGTATGGTTCCTGCCTCCACTACATCACTTGCCAGACTCTGCCACTTCCTGACAACTCTGTGACTAAAGAAATACTTCCTAACATCCCTTTGACTCATCTGAGTCTTCAACTTTCAATTGTGACCCCTTGTTTCTGTGTCTTATCTCTGGAACATCTAGTCTCTGTCCACCTTGTCTGTTCCACGCAGTATATTGTGTGTCGTTATCATGTCTCCCCGGACCCTCCTGTCCCCCAGTGTCGTCAGGTCGATTTCCCTTAACCTTTCTTCGTAGGACGTTCCCCTTAGCTCTGGACCCAGCCTTGTTGCAAACCTTTGCACTTTCTCTAATTTCTTGACGTGCTTGACCGGGTGTGGGTTCCAAACTGGTGCTGCGTACTCCAGTATGGGCCTGACGTACACTGTGTACAGAATCTTGAATGATTCCTTACTGAGGTGTCGGAACGCTGTTCTCAGGTTTGCCAGGCGCCCATATGCTGCAGCAGTTATCTGGCTGATGTGCGCCTCAGGAGATGTGCTCGGTATTATACTTACCCCAAGGTCCTTTTCCTTGAGCGAGGTTTACAGTCTTTGGCCACCTAGCCTATACTCTGCCTGCGGTCTTCTTTGCTCTTCCCTGATCTTCATGGTTTTGCATTTGGCGGGGTTAAATTCTAGGAGCCAGTTGATGGTCCAAGCTTCCAGTCTGTCCAGGTCTCTTTGTAATCCTGTCTGATCCTCATCCGATTTAACTCTCCTCATTAACTTTACATCATTTGCAAACAGGGACACTTCGGGGTCTATCTCTTGTGTCATGTCATTCACATATACCAAAACTAGCACTGATCCCAGGACTGACCCCTGTGGAACCCCGCTTGTCACAGGCGCCCACTATGATACCTCGTCACGTACCATGACTCGTTGTTGCCTCCATGTCAGGTACGTGCTTGATCCTCTAGCTTTTGCACTAATCTCTTGTGAGGAACTGTGTCGAAGACCTTATTGCAGTCCAAGAAAATGCAATCAACCCACCCCTCTCTCTCGTGTCTTACTTCCGTTACCTTGTCATAAAACTCCAGTAGGTTTGTGACACGGGATTTGCCTTCCATGAATCCGTGCTGGTTGTCGTGTGTGTGTCTCAAAGTGTGTAGACTGTACTCCAAGCAGGCATGATGAATTAACACATGAGCAGAATCTTTTGTGTTTATTGCAACAGTCTTCAGATTATGTCCGTGTATTGTACTAATATAACCATTGGATAGTGGAACGTCTACAAAGATACCCAGATATTGCACGTGTGTCTAATGTATCAACTTGTCGGTATTTCATGTCATTAATATCCAAGCAGCCATTCTGTACCACCTGTAGAAAGCATATAAAAATCTCTGCAGTCTATCTCTTGGCTTATGGACAGTGGCGAACATTTTTCTACCATAACTAATTAGCGCAGTTCAGAACATGGATGAACTTACTTTCTTGAGCTCTGTCATGTTGGCGAGGGTGATGAAGAACTTCTCATCCTTCTGTAAGGTCTCCAACTTGAGCACAATGTTGTAGTCAGAGGCACACACGTTACAGTGGGCCCAGTAAGGTGTCCAGCACTTCACCTGCAACACAACTGTCTTCTAAAAACATTCATAATATTGCACAAGTATCTTATCAACGTGTAGGTGTTGTGTACCATTGCTGTGATACTGAGACATAAGACCAAAATATTCTGCGCAATTCATGACAGCCTCAATATAGTGCAAAATAAGCCAGCACTTAAAATATATAGTATCATGGTTTGCAATGTCCCAGAATAAATGTAATCAATATACTGTTATATCAACGTTAAAAAGCTGTATATAATCAATATATTGTAGTATAAACGTTACTCGTTATAAAACTGAATGTCAGTATACATTTAAAGTCACATGCTGCAAAACTACTGCTCTGCTGGATTTAACCTGACAGCTTGATTATGTAGTGTATCCCATAGCAATTTTGTAGGCAGTAGTCAGTGCGTTACAGAAACAGGTACGAGCAGGATTCCCTGCTGTATACCTGCTGTGTTCTTTGTTAAATTATGCGGTCTTATAGTTTCCTTCATTTATAAACAGTCTATAGATACTATGCATGTCCTAGCTCTAAGCGAAACAAAGTTGAAGAGGGTAGAGAAGTTTCAGTGGGGAGAAATAAATGGGAATATATCAGGAGTATCTGAGAGAGTTAGAGAATAGGAAGGGGTAGCAATAATGTTGAATGATTAGTTACGGAGAGAGAAGAAGGAATATAAATATATAAATTCAAGGATTTTGTTGATTAAAATAATGGGTCATAATAAGTGTGTATGCACCTGGAGAAGAGAGGAGTGTAGAGGAGAGAGAGAGAGATTTTCGGAGATGTTAAGCGAGAGTGTTGGAACTTTTCAACCAAGTGAGAGACTAATTGTGGCAGGAGAAACATTTAGAGAGGGTGTGGTAGGTAAGTTTGGTGTGCCAGGTGTAAATGATAATGGGGGACCTTTGATTGAACTTTGTATAGAAAAGGGGTTTGGTTAAAAGTAATACATATTAAAAAAAAGACAAATAAATATACAAGATATAATGCATAATGACAGTAGTTGGACTATGTATTAGTGATACAAGTCAGTGGAAAAATTCGAGGTAAGAATTTTCAGGGGGAGAATAATGGGAATACTTTGAGTTTAGAGAGTTAGATAAATGTAGGTAATAATGAATGATAGTAAGGAGAAGAAGAAGGAATATAAATTTATAAATATAAGGATAGAGGATAACAAAATGGTCATAATAAGACTTATGGAGGGATAGAGAGGTGTAGAGGTATAGGAATGAAGTTTCGGAGAGTGTATGGGTAGTGTTGAATTTTCACGCAAGAGAGTTGCTAATTGTGACAGGAAAAAGTGAGAGGGAGAGTGTGTGTAATTTGTGTGCAGAATAATTGAAAATATGGAACCTGATGAAAATATATAAAGTGGTTTTTATTATAAATTATAACTTAAAAAAAAGATAAATTAATATACAAATTAATGAGTTGATAAGTTAGACTAGTATTTCAAGTACTTTGGTAAATTATTCAGTTTGTTATTTAATAGAAGACACAATATATCTTAAAATTTTAGTTAGAAATTTTAGAAAGGACTTAATTTAAATGATGCAATGAAATTGACCAATTTAGCATTCGGAGGGAAGTATATAAATAAATAAATAGTCAAGTAATATAAATACTATGGAGGATAATAGCTATATAGTATAGTAATAATTGAAGATGTATGTGTAGTGACGAATAGCAGAAGTTTGATGTTAAGAAACGGCATTGCTTGGAAGGAAAAATTTGTGTAATTTTGTTGAAATTTTCGCCAAAATTATTCAAACTAAAGGAAAAAATATATTTCATTGTTTTTTTATATTAAATTATTTAAACATACATAAAATCTATTTTTGGATTAGGCTAAATTAAATTGGCTTGTTATAAAGTTAGGTAAGTTTTCTAAGGATTTTTGGTGCAAAATTATAATTTATAATTAACATTAATGAAAAAAATATATCTTTAAACGTATAAGAGAAAATTTAGAAAGGACTTAATTTAAATGAGTTCTTGCTAATTGACCAGTTTTACATATTCGGCACGACATATATATATATATATATATATATATATATATATATATATATATATATATATATATATTATACTAATATGTAAAAATGGATAATTAAAAAAACCAATCTTGAAATTAACTTTGAGAATTACTTATACTTAAACAAGTACTCTTTCAATTACTTCTGTCAAAAAATTTAATTTGCACCAAATGCTAGTAGTATTTAGCTACACACATTCAGCAGGTGTTTTTATTTATCTCATTCCAAAATGTCAAACGTTTACTATTTGTACCAAGTAATTAACCAGTTGTACGTTGGTTTCGTTAGTCTCAATTGTTTGAATTATTGCATAAAAAAATTTTCTCCTTGCATATAGTTTGTGAATTGCTTTTGAGCGAATTTACATTGACAAAATATATATATATATGCAATATTGATATAATAAAATATATACACCTGCATGAATGCTGCTGCCTTGACAAAACATCTAATTATATATATGATACACAATATTGTATATATAAAATACAATCTCACCTGATATATGTACTATATACACCTTAATATACATATGACAGTAACCACACGTTACCGATTTAAGTACATTCTGTCCCCAGTTAATGCTAGATGTATTTGGTCTAGGATCAGCATTCAGGAGGTTGGTGTTAACTATTTCTTCTCATTCCAAAATGTCAAGCGTTAGCTGGGCACCAAGGTATTGAACCAGTGTGGTTACGTTGGTAGAGCACTGCTTACCTTGTTTTAAGGTTCGTAGATTTGAATCTCCTTCGGCCAGAAATTAGTGTTTGTGAATATTTCGCCTGTTCTCCCCAATTCAAAACATTGTAAAAATCCTCCGTCGTTCATGCAGGGGTTTAGATGAAACAGCTAGCACACCTCCCGAATGCTGGCTCCCTTGGGAAAAAAACTCTAGCGTTAGCTGACACCAAAGGGTATTGGTATATAACATATTACACACTGTAAATGTAATATACACTGTTTAACATATATACAGGGGAACCTCTCTTACGATTTTAAAATACATTCTTGACCTACTCATAACCCGATCTTTCTCGTATTTGAGTCAATTTTCCCCTTTTAAATATTGAAATGCCATTAATCCATTCCATCGGAAATCCTGCTCTCAGGAGGCAGGACAAAATACTTCAATATAATGCTAATTTCAACTCTACGGCTTATTTATCTATCACAATTCATCTAATATGACATAATAAACAATATAAATAACATAGAAACCTGATTTATACACTAGAATGAATAAAATATGTCATTATGTAACAAGTGGTGGCGGCCATTCCCGCTCCCGCTCTGAAAACGTCTTCCCATGCTTCCCTTTCTGAGGTGTTATGAGAGAAAATAAGAAATATTGTATAAAAAACATAATAGAGAATGTAAAGAAATAAAGTGGTGTAGGTACAGCATTTACCTTGGAGAAGAGCTACTGGCAAAGGTTGATGGTGGACAAGATAGGCAGAGTGACATATGCTGTCAGTGGCCCTATAAACCCCAACAACAATGGAGGAGTTCATTTCGTTTCGTCCTTTTTCTGTCGCCTAATCACTTAACTTACTTGCTACACTTTTAATAAGAACATAAGAATATAAGAACGAAGGAACACTGCAGAAGGCCTACTGGCCCATGCGAGGCAGGTCCAAGTCTCCTACCGGCTTAAGCCAATGCACCCAACCTAGTCAGGTCAGGTCACATTGACTTAAGGGAGGAACACGGCAACCGACCTGGTAGCACAAGCTATCAGGTCCAACTCACACCCACCCACATCCACTCATGTATTTATCCAACCTATTTTTAAAGCTACACAACGTTCTGGCCTCTATAACTGTACTCGGGAGTTTGTTCCACTCATCCACAACTCTATTACCAAACCAGTACTTTCCTATATCCTTCCTGAATCTGAATTTTGTAAAACCATGCTGAGATTCGTTGATTAATTTATGCTTTTCAAGGTGGCTACGAACTGCCTCGGCAATTATTGATTCCATAAATTTTCCCACTATGGAGGTTAGCTTATTGGTCTATAGTTCGAAGCTAAGGACCTGTCACCTGTTTTGAAAATAGGTATCACATTTGCCATTTTCCACTTATCTGGCACCATGCCAGTTTTTTAGTGATATGTTGAAAAGATTAGCCAAAGTGTGCTAAGCTCCTTTTACATTCCTTTAGAACCCTTGCATACAGTTCACAGGGCCTGGGATTTGTTAGGGTTTTAATTTATCTATTGCCTAAGGAAACCCTGTCACTTGTACCCTAATCGTTTCACAGTTTTTTTATCGTCCTGTTCTACATTTAAATTTTTCATTACTGGAATATCGCTGGTATCCTCCGTGTAAAAAATGAGAGGAAGTATGTGTTAAAAATTCTACACATTTCCTTATCACTGTCAGTGAGCTGACCCGAGGAACTTTTGAGTGGGCCTATCTTGTCCCTGATCTTACTTTTGTATACCTGAAAGAATCCTTTTGGTTAGTCTTCGATTCTCTTGCAACTTTAACCTCACAATCTCTTTTTGCTTTTCTAATTCCCTTTTTTATTTCTCTCTTTAACTGGATATATCGATTTCTTAATGCTACACTTTATCACTGAACTTAACTGCTATAATTTGTTTTTTTATTTTTTTACCCTTCACTTTTTACTGATTTTTGGCTTTTTCTCCACGTGTTTCACACTTTCATCTGCAGGGCATTTCAATAAAAACCTGTCCAAGGAGGTTCGTTTCATCCTCCCTTTCAGAATGTTTCGGAAATGAGTTAGGCAAATGTCATTACATAGCTCCAACGCATGACCAGTTGTAACTTTCTCTGGGCGTTTCCTTTCAATAAAGTCTGAAAATCTCTCCCAGATTCCCAACATTTCCTTTATCTCACTTGTAGAGATAACCTCCTCCACATCTGGCACCTCCACAGTACGAATGTCCTGATATTATATTATTATTATTATTATTATTATTATTATTAGTAGTAGTAGTAGTAGTAGTAGTAGTATTTTATTATAGAATTATTATTATATTACTATTATACATATTATTATATATTATTATTGCTATTATTATTATTATTATAATGGGGAAGTTCAAAACCTGTAGGATTATACAGCGCCTGTGGGAGGGGACAGAAGGTATTCAGGCTTAATTTAGGGAACTGGAGCACAGATACAATTCCCTAGATCAAGAGCCCCTCACCAGCGTGAAGCTTGCAACCTGAATTTTGGCTCGTATCCAGGAGAAAAAATCGACCGAGTGACGGCTCATATCCTGAAAAACTGGCATTGTGGGCCACTCGCAAGCAGAGGTTTCACTGTATAGCCTCTCCTCACTTAGAGATGTACTCGTTTACCGACGCCTCGGACTAACGATGGGTTCTCTGACCAGTATGCCAAAATCATTCTGAACCAAACGAAAAAAATACATTTCACTGTGTTTGTTTAGTATTACATTATTGTAAACAAATCTAAAATATATTTAGTTGGGTTAGGCTAAAATAAATTGTTATTGTTTGTTATTGTTATAATAAGGTTAGGTAAGTTTTCTAAGATTCTTTTGGAGCAAAATTAAAAATTTTTATATTAACATTAATGAAAAAAATATATCTTTAAACGTATAAGAGATCATTTTAAAAAGGATTTAATTTTAAATGAGTTCTTGCTAATTGACCAGTTTTGCATATTCGGCACGACATATATATATATATATATATATATATATATATATATATATATAATATATATATATAATATATATATATATATATATAATATATGCACACACGCACATATTTAAGTTTAAAATTTATACGTCTATTATCTCAACTTCTATTATCACAGCACATGTCTCTCTCTCATTATCATCCTTACTCTATCTCCCCTTTGCACCATCTCACTACCTCTATTTACTCTGTCACTGAAACCTAATACGATATTTCTCATTCATGCTCTTACATATTAGGACTATCTCTTTATCTCTCACTCTGTGTCATTGTCTTTCTCTCTGTCTCTCTCCACACACTTACTTTATTAACCCAGTCACTTGCAGTGTGTAAGTCTCTAGTGCTATCTATGATGTACTGCACAAACTCTGGGAAGGTTGGGAAGACCGAAGTCTCTGTGTTGTTCTTCCTGTACTTGGCAATGATGTCAAGCTGCAGTTCTCTGAAGCGATGCTCTGTTGGTCGAGGGATCATCTTCAGCATCTTGTCCCGGTAAGCAGAGATGATCCTGGGGTGGGATTAACCAGTGCATCAGAAAACCAGAAACTAACCATACCACGGGTGGGGTTTGAACCTGCGGTCAGAGACTCTCTGCCCGTCGGTTCAAACCCCACCCGTGGTGTGGTTTGTTTGCAATCGTGTCATTACGATGTCGTGAACCAGAAACTCTTGGGTGCTGGGGAGAAGTTATTGAATTTTATACCTGCTGGAAAGCTTTGGATTCATGGAATTGAATCAGATCTGATTACCTTATATCCCCAGAGTTTTGTGTGGATCTTATGCGCCTAACTCTTCCCCAGAAATATAAGAATCATCACGTGTAGTTATACACATATAACGACGTTTCGGTCCGACTTGGACCATTAACTAATGAAGTTACTAATCGGACCTAAACGTCCTCATATGTTTCACTCCAGTGTGAAGGTATTTGTGTATTGTTCCAGTCACGGTATTGTGGCTCTTTTGTTCTGTGTGTAGCTGTGTCTCGTTAGTTAACACCACCCAATACATACTACTTTAATTTTCATTTAATTTTAATTTCTTTATTTCTGCAAGTACATGTACAAGGTGTACAGACCATAGCTGACATCAGTGATATACTGCTATATAGAAAACCGCTTGTTATTCTGGAGTTTATCTGGAGAGAGTTCCGGGGGTCAACGCCCCCGCGGCCCGGTCTGTGACCAGGCCTCCTTAGGTCAGTGTCCCAGGATGCGACCCACACCAGTCGACTAACACCCAGGTACCCATTTTACTGATGGGGAACATAGACAACAGGTGGAAAGAAACACGTCCAATGTTTCTACTCTGGCTGGGAATCGAACCCAGGCCCTCACCGTGTGAAGCGAGAGCGTTAACCACCAGGCCACCAGAGCTGAGCATTTCCCACAAATTTGGTTAGTTTTATCCCAGGATGCAACCCACACTAGTAGACTAACACCCAGGTACCCATTTTACTAATGTGTGAACAGGGACAACAGGTGTAAGGAAACATGCTCAGTTTCTCCACTCTTGCCGGGAATCGAACCACGGACCCTCAGCGTGTGAAGTGAGAACTTTGCCTACCAGGTCATGGGTCACTGGGCTATGGGTCTGACTCAGGTGTAACTACATGTTCGAAAGTGGACTCACCGAGGTGTAAACATCGAAATGGTATAAAATACCGACAGGTTGTTAGGTAAGACACATATGCAACAGTTAGCTAACTTTATTTCGAAACGTTTCGCCTACACAGTAGGCTTCTTCAGTCGAGTACAGAAAAGTTGATAGAAGCAGAAGACGTGAAGACGATGTAATCAGTCCATCACCCTTGAAGTTTCGAGGTGGTCAGTCCCTCAGTCTGGAGAAGAATATTGTTCCATAGTCTGAAACAATATTGTTTCAGACATCCGAAGTTTTCGGATGTTTTCTGGATTTTCTCTGCTAACTACGTTAGGCCTTCCAAGACAGACAACCTCTTAGTTGTTCCACATGTCTGTTGCTGCTCTCCACACACAGCTTCACAAGTTTTATATAAAAGGGGACTTGTTATTATTGTCATTATTATTATTATTATTATTATTATTATTATTATTATTATTATTATTATTATTATTATTATTATTATTATTATTATTAAATGTAGTTTCTTTCTGTTGATCTTAGGTTAGTTCTTCATGTTCTTTACTTTCTTGTTTCTTCTGGTTGTTTCCTGGTCTTGATCTACCTTCGTCTACGTCACTTATTTAGTGCTTCCACAACCTTTATTATCATTCTAACATCATTCTCAGGTTATTCTTTCTCTTCGTTGCATCTTCTTTCTTGACTATATTATCCTGCAGAAATTTTATCTTTCTTCTTTAAATGTTAAGCTACTCCTTATCTTTTATCTTTTCCCCCAATCATCCCCTCTCTCCCCCCCAATCATTCTTCTCTCTTGGCTCCCCAATCTCCTCCTCTCTCCCCCCCAAACATTCTTCTCTCATCTCCCCAATTCCTTCTCTCTGGGTCCCCCCCCAAACACCTCTCTATCTCCCCAAATCCTTCTCTCTTCCTCCCCAATCATCCTTCTCTCTGGCTCCCCAATATCCTTTTTCTCAACTCCCCAATCATCTTTCTCCGGTCCCCAATCTCCTTTTTCTCTGGCCCCCCCAAACATCCTTTTCCCCTGGGTCCCCAATCATCCTTTTCTCTGGCTCCCCAAATCATCCTTCTCTCTGGGTCCCCCAATCACCTTTCCTTGCTCCCCAATCATCCCTTCCTCACTCCCCAACGCTCTTTCCTCATCTCCCCAATCATCCTTCCCTATTTCCCCAAACATCCTTTTCCCCATGCTCCCCAATCCCCTTTCCCATTTCCCCAATCATCCCCTTTTCCCCATGCCCCCAACATTTTTCCTCATTCCCCAATCATCCTTTCCTCTCCCCAACATCCTTTTCTCTGCTCCCCAATCGCTCTTTCCTCATGCTCCCCAATCATCCTTCCCTCAATCCCAATCATATTTTTCCCCATGTTCCCCAATCATCCTTTCCTCATCTCCCCCAAACATCTTCTCTTATGCTCCCAAACGCTCTTTCCTCTGCCCCCCAATATCCTTCCCTCAACCCCAATCATCCTTTCCTCATGTTTCCCCCAAACATCCTTTCCTCAAGCTCCCCAAACATTCTTTCCCATCTCCCAACATCCTTCCCTCAATCCCCAATCATCCTTTTCCCCCCCTCTCCCCAATCACCTTTACTCACTACCCAAACATCCTTTTCTCCAAAATTTCCCCCAACAACCTTTTTTCATCTCCACAATCATTTTTTAAAAAACCCTGCCCCCCAAACTTCTTTCCCTTTTCTCCCCAAACATTTTTTTTTTCAGCCACCAATATTCTTTCCCCATCCCCCAATATTCTTTCCTCTCCCCCAATCCCTCCTTTCCTCATGCCCCCACTCATCGTTTGCTCATGCTCCCCCAAACATCCTTTTCTCACCACCAATCATCCATTCACATGCTCCCCAATCATCCTTTTTATCTGCTCCCCAATCATTCTTTTTTCAGCTCCCCAATCATTCTTTCCAGCTCCCCAATCATTCTTTCCTCATCTCCTCAATCTCCTTTGCTAAGCCATCATCCCTTTCCCCACTCCCCAATCATTTTTTCCTCAGTTTTTCCCCAATCACCTTTCCTCATCTCCCCAACATTCTTTCCTCATGCCCCAATCATCCTTTTCTCTGGCTCCCCAAACTCCTTTTCTCTTCCCCCCAAACATCCTTTCCCCTGGGCCCCCAAACATCCTTTTCCCATCTCCCCAATCATCCTTCCTCATGCTTCCCAATCATCCTTTCCCCCATCTCCCCAATCACCTTTCCCCATGCCCCAATCACCTTCCCTCATCTACCCAATTCCTTTCCTCACTCCCCAATCACCTTTCCCATCTCCCCAATCATCCTTTCCCAAGTCCCCCAAACACCTTTTCCTATGCTACCCAATCTTCCTTTCCTCATCTCCCCAATCATCCTTTCCCCCCAAGCTCCTCAATCATCCTTTGCTCTCTCCCAATCATCCTTTTCCTCACCCCCAATTTATCCTTCCCTCAACTCCCCAAACATCCTTTCCTCATCACCCCAATCATCCTTTTCTCATGCTCCCCAATCATCCTTTTCCCCAGCTCCCCAATCATTCTTTCCTACTCCCCAATCACCCTTTTCCCATCTCCCCAAATTTCTTTCCTCATGCTCCCCAATCACCTTTTTTTCATGCTCACCAATCACTTCCATGCTCCCCAATCATTCTTTCATCATCTCCCCAATCATCCTTTTCCCCCATGCTCCCCCTATCCTTTCTCATACTCCCCAATCATCCTTTGCTCATGCTCCCAACATCCTTTTACATGTCCCAATATCCCTTTTATCATCTCCCCAACATTCTTTTTTCATGCCCCCCCTCATTTTTTCCTCATGCTCCTCAATTTTTTTCTATGCTCACCAATCATCCTTTCCTCATGCTCCCCCAAATTCTTTCCTCATCTCCCCAATCATCTTTTCCTCATGCTCCCCAATCATTTTTCCTTATTCCCCAATCATCCTTTCCCCATGCTCCCCCCTCACCTTTGTCATGCTCCCCCAATATCCTTTCTCAGCTCACCATATCCTTTCACATCTTCCCCAAACATCCTAACATCATGCCCCAATCATTTTTTTTCTCATCCCCCCAAACATTCTTTCCTCTCCCCCCCAACTCCCCTTTCTATGTCACCAACATCCTTTCCCATGCTCCCCAATCATTCTTTTTTCCCGTTCCCCAATCATCCTTTCCCCATGCTCCCCAATTATCCTTTCCTCAGCTCCCCTATCACCTTTCCTCATGCCCCCAACATCCTTTCCCATCTCCCCAATCATCCTTCCCCCAACCCCCAAACATCCTTTCTCATGCTCACCAATCTCCTTTCCCATGCCCCAATTATTCTTTTTATGCCCCAATCATTTTTTCCCCCATGCTCCCCAAACATTCTTTCCCATGCCCCAATCATCCTTTCCCCAAACTCCCCAAACACTTTGCTCATGCTCCCCGATCATTCTTTCCTCATCTCCCCCAAACATCCTTTCCCATGTTTTTCCCCAAACATCCTTTCCCCCAAGCTTCATAATCATCCTTTCCTCATTTACCCCAAACATTCTTTTCTCAAGCTCCCCCCAACATCCTTTCCTCTTCCCTAATCATTCTTTCCTCATGCTCCCCAATCATCCTTTAATCTCCCCATCATTTTTTCCTCAAGCCCCCAAACATCCCCTTTTCTCATGCTCACCAATCATTCTTTTCCCCATGCCCCCAATCTTTTTTCCTTAAGCCCTCCCAAACAACCTTTTCCCATCCCCCACTCATCCTTTGCTATCTCCCCAATCATCCTTTCCTCATCCTCATCATTCCCTTTTCATGCTCCCAATCATCCTTAATATGCTCCCCAATCTTCTTTCCTCATGCCCCCAATCACCTTTCATCATCTCCCCCAATCATTTTCCTCATGTCCCCAATACCTTTACT